TGAATTCTAGAAATTTCTAGAAAACCCAACTCTCATGGCATTAGAAAGAGGATCATGAAAAACCTATAAAAAAATGGTTCATGAAATTTTAGTTCACTCATAAAGCTAAAGTCCGCCTGCTCTAGCAAAAAATGCCCACTGTGATACAGTATTTTTCGTTCAAAAACCATTGTTGCCATGATGTACCGCCGTCTGATCTTCGATTGTTGGCTGTATTTCAGCATTAATATAATTTTTCAATTGTGGAAACCTCTAAACAGCAAAAGTTTGCTTATTATCAGTCGATTATCAGACTGTGAATTGGTTACTATTTGGGTAATAAATGCTTTCTGAAGTTTATCACCTCGAAGATTTCCTCGTTAGAGGGTCCAACATGAGCTCTATTATCTGGAGAAAAACAAGTTCAAGTTTGCTAGCGATCAGTCAAAAGTCATTTTTGACTTGACTTAACTTAGCCTCCGAAAAATGGACGGATGACTTGACTTGACTGGGGTTTAAAAAAATATGACTTGACTTGGTCAGATTTTAAAACTCAAGACACGTCAATTTTCCATTTTTCTTGCCGAGATTCGCTTTTTTCTATCAATCCTGCACGACTGTTTCTCCCATAAAATAAGGTTGATTTAACAGCACAAAGCGATCAAAATGTGTAGGAGCAATAAATGATTGTTCTGGAAAAAAAATGACTTGATGTGGCCTCCGGAAAAAATGAGGAATGACTTGACTCGACTCTTTTCGAAAATAACTTGACTTGACCGTGACTTGAAGAATCTCTGACTTGTCTATTTCTGATACAAGTCAAATTTACCGATTAGTAAGAAACACTAGGTGAAAAAAACCTAGTACTTCAAGATCACGTGAGAATCCTGAATACTGATTAAAACAACTTAGCGTTATCGGACCGTTCCTTAAGCACATTCGCCTTTTTTGATTTCTCGGTCGGACTTTAGAAATAAAAATTCATTTTATTATTGCGATTTGTACGTTTCAAAAACAAATCACTTTACCTTGTTGATATCTAACTGTTTTTTCCTTCTTGCCGATCGTTTCTTCTATTTCGTTAAGTGTACTTCGTCGTCATCATTATCGGCGCTGCTTCCATCACTACTGCTATTGTACATAATAACTTCTTCACTTTCTATGTTTGTACTTTCATATTTATCTTTTGCTAATTTACAATCGATTTTGGATCCTAAAACAAGAACAGAAAAAAGAAGAATTTAATACTCGAAGTAACTTGATTAATATGTAGAGTTTTTTAGGCAAAGAACTGGTGAGAAAAATCGGCAAAACAGTTTTTTTCCTCGTAAAAGTGTAAGTTTTCTAGTTCAAAGAAGATAGCAGTAAAACTATTCTAAAAAACGC